GCACGCTAGCAAGCGTGCAAAGGTTGGGCACAGTGATGCAGGCCCTTCCAATCCAAGACTTCTTGAGCTCAAATGCGGTCTCCAGGCAATCGAGATCAAACACCCCCAGCAGCTGTTGGAGGACTCCCAGGTGTAGCCCAGTCGTGCAAAACATCAAATCACATCTCCCGGCAGTGCGCCTGTTCCACGGAGGAGCAGATCCAGTTCAGGCTCCTCTTCTTCAGAGTAAGTGGAGATTCGATTGTCAATGGTAGCACCCATGTCATCAGCCCAGCGGCAGTGTATATTACATCGTGGGCAGGAGAGGCTCAATTGTTTATGGATTATTTGAGAGCTGTTTTTCTATGGCTACAGGTTTTCGGTCGACTCCTCAAACTTTTGTGTTGGTCTGTTCTCGCGCTCGGGAAGGGCATTCGTCAGCTACCCAGCGTTCTTTAACCTTCACACTGTCGGTCGCATCCTTTTTGGCCATAGTGGCAGCACTGTGAAACGGGTACGTTTCCCTGCTATTTTTTTGTAGTGCAGGCGCTAGTTGGCGCAGCTGCAGTTCAGCCCAGTTAGCCCACTCTCTCCCACAAGCCAGTGCATGGAATTGGCAGCCAGGGCTAAGTTGCAAAACTCTGCCGTCTCTTGGCGTGTCGTGCCATGGCAATGCCATGTCTGAAAGCCCGAACCTGCACGTTGGCGTCCAGGGGGTGTTCTTGTTTGGGAGGGGAAAGGTTGGGTGGGCAGTCTTACTCACTACAGGGGTCCAGGTAAGTCTGGCGAAGTAATCCCCTAGTTCTTCTTGTCTTCATCCCCTTATGGTGGGAAGGTCAGGTCTCGCTTTGTTCTGTGGTCAGCCCATTAGAATGTGGGAAGTGAGTTACCCCAGTGCTTAGCAGTTGATATCCTCCCCCTCGCCTCCTCCAGCCTTCCTCCTCCTCCTCCTCCTCCTCCTTCTCCTCCTCCTCCTCCTCCTCCTCCTCCTCCTCCTCTTCCTCCTCCCTGTAGGGCAGGGTTCGGTGGAGCCGAATCGGAACCGGCAGCGCCCCAGGCAAATGTCTGGGGGTCAGCTGCTGGCCGAGGAACGCGCCTGGCTTTAGTTCACCCCCGAAGCGAATGTCAAAAACAAATGTCCCCCTCCTCCTCCTGATCCTGCTCCTGCTTTTGCCCCTTCTCCTCCAGTGGCCCCCCACGGCTCCACCACAACGGTCTCCACCTCCTTATTTTCCTTCTCCTCCGTCTCCTCCTCCTGCTTCTCTTCGTCCTCCTCCTCTTGCTCCACCTCCTCCTTCTCCTTTCCCTTTTCCTTATCCTTCTCTTCCTCCTCGGCCTTGTTCACCTCCTCCTCATTATCCTCCTCCTCCTCCTCCTCCCTGTCCTTTTCCTCCTCTTCCTCCTTTTCCTCCTCCTCCCCCTCCTCCTGCTCATCCTCCTCGGTCATCGATCATCGGTCCTTCCCCCCCCCCTTCCCTCCACAGGGACGATCGCCTCGTCGCCCCCATCTCTCCTCCCCCCTCCCTCCCTGGTTCCCGCTCTTCCTCCAGTTCCTTCCACAACTACATAATATGAACAATACTCTTCTCTCCATTGGTGACGTCCGGGAAATATCCGGCCCCCCTCCGCGCATGGCTTTTTACAAAGGATTCCCAAGAAACGGGTTTTCGATTAGGTTGTCTGTCAAAATGTTGGTCTCGCTGAAGCGCTGGCCCCATTTTCGGGCTAGTGCTCGTTCAGAATCGTGCTCCCGCTGCGGCGTTGGCCTCATTTTCGCATTTCCGCTCGTTCCGAATCGTGCTCCCGCTGCATCATCATTTCCAGCGTCATGCCACGGCATGGCGTTCGGTCCTTCCAAATAGGCGCCGCAAGCCCCAAAATCTAGAAAATACCCCCCAACAAAAAACCATCGGAAGTGATTACACATGTGGTGTCGATTCCTCGATTTTTTGGTTGAAGAAGCCCCCCCCGCCCCCACGTAGGGGCGTCGCCACGCCATGCTATGTCAGGCTACGCGTCCTCCGAATCGTGCTCCCGCTGCTGAAGCGCTGGCCTCATTTCCGCGCCTCACCTCGTTCCGAGTCGTGTTCCCGCTGCAGCGTTGGCGTTATTATTTCCAGCGCCATGCCACGGCATGGTTGTGGTCCTTCCAAACAGGCCCAAAAATATAAAGCATGTCCTCCCGAGACAACCATCGTAAGTGATTCCACATTCGGTGTCGATTCGCTGAGTTCTTGCCCGCAGCAACCCCCCCACTTTGGGGCGTCGCCACGCCATGCTATGTCAGGCGACGCGTTGATCTTCAACGCCATGCCATGCCACGTAATGCTATGCCCTGCTGCGACATCCGACTGTGCGAATGGAGAGGGTATCTACGCCATGGTAAGGGATGGGAGGGAGGGGTAGGACGTCAGATCCGACGCGAGCGCACCTGGCTTGCCCTCCCCCCCTCCCCGCTCCCCTCGCCGCGGCGTGGGCGGCGAGAGGGCACGGCGGGGGGGGGGGAGGGCGCGCCGCGGAGGCAACTGGACCCAGAGCGGCGGCCTCGGCGCCCTCGCGGAGGAGCTGCGCCGACGGGGCGGCGATTCCGCGCCGGACGCCTCTCGCGGAGGGGCGGGGCGGGGAGCACGCCTCTCGCGGGGGGGGGGCGAGCAGGAGGGAAACGGCAAGGAGGAGGAGGAAGGCAAGGAGGAGGAGGAGGAGAAGGAGGAGGAGGTGGCCTGTCCCCCCAGAGAAGGAGGAGGCGGAGGAGGATGAGGATGAGGACCGGAGGAGGCGGAGGCGGAGGAGGAGGAGGAGGAGGAGGACGAGGACGAGGACATCGTCGTCGTTCTTGTCGTTTTGGAGGTTGAATGTCTTGATTCCGGCTGCGGGAGGCTTCACGGCGCCGCGCAGGGCCGCCTATTATCCGATTCGATGCGAGTCGGTTCGCTGGCTGGGGCTGCGATTCCAATTCGGTTCGATATGGCCTCATTCAGCGGCATCGGCCAGTGCCAGCTGGAAGCGGGGCGCGGCGATTCGATACCGATCCGATTCGGGACGATTCGTTGGCGATTCGACCCGCTCTCGATCCGGTCCGATTTCGCGATCCGATCCAGCGCAGACCTGCCGCGGCTGGACCCCCCAGTCGACACCCTGGCCAAAACGCGCCTCGGGAGGGGTCTGCAGCGCAAAGCGTGGGTAGGTGTGCGTGTTGAGGTCTCCCATCCCCATACCGATGTACAAGTATGAACGGATGGTTATGTACATGTAACACGATACACACACGCATACATACATATATATATATATATATATATATATATGTATGTGCATACCTATCTGTACACATATATATAAGCATATATAGATATGTCTGTACATGTCGGAGTAGGCCTCGGGCGAGCCCGGGACCGAGACCATTGGTACACATGGGCCACATGGGTGCCGCAGGGGCTCCAGGAGCGCCTTCGTGGTTCCCACGGGGGCCTCGTGATCGCACAGAGGGCCCACACATTGGTACGACGGTCCACCAGACTGGGTCTGGCACGCCCCGAGAGCACCGAAGAGGTCTTCGGAACGGCCTCCGGCGGCTTTCGGGCTGCGCTGGGAGGCCCTTCTCCTCCTCCTCTTCCTCCTTCCTGGGCCAGCTTCAGTGGGCGCCCGAGGCACCAGACAAGTAACCCGAGAGGCACAAATCATTGATCTCGCCGGGGATTTTCAATGGTTACCGTGCCCTCTCCTCCTCCTCCTCCTCCTCCTCCTCCTCCTCCTCCTCCTCCTCCTCCTCCTCCTCATTCCTCCTCCTCATCCTTCCTCGTTCTCCTTCTCCTTCTCCTCCTCCTCCTCCTCCTCCTCCTCTTCTTTCTCGACATTTCGACACTCCACCGCGGCCCACGAGGCTTCCGACACCGCCTCAGCACGGGCCTCGCGGCCCCCAGGAAGGCCCCGGGAAGTCCACGCTGCACGACGCCCCCAGGTGCGCCCAAGACGGCCCACGAGGCCCTCAAGACGGCCCCAAGATGGCCTCCAGAGGGCGTCCGTAGCCATTGTGGCTCAAGCCATGGGTAAGTCCAAACGCGGGGCGGGGGGGGGCCAGCATAACCTGAACATCGGATGTGGGCGCGAGTCGCCGCGAGTTGCATCTTGAAGTTTTGTGCGTTTCGGGAAGGACCTTTTGGCGCGGCTCGCGACTCCGAAAACCAGTGCAACGGTATCGGTTCGACCACGTTAGAAACGGCCGAGAACTTTCTTCGGCGCGTAAAACATTCGCCGAAACCGCAGTTGTCACGCCGCGGGCCGTAACCTATATCGATGCCAGCGCCGACGCCGCACCCGCAAATCTGCACAAACGCGCGCGGCATGACTTCGGAAAACGTGCATGGCGGCCATTGTTTCTACCACTGGCTCAAGCCCCTGTAAGGCTTCTGCTCGCTGCTCGCCATCGGCGTGACGGCAGCGCTGGCCGCCGTCGCTGGGCCCCTCGGGCGCCAGCCTGCGCCCGGGCGTGCCTTCGACCGATTCGAGCGATTCCGGGCCCGACCGATTGCGGCCGCCATGGCGGCGCACTGCCGGGTGTGCCTGGCCCGCGGCGTGGCCGGCCTCGCCCTCCCAGGCTCGGAGGTCTGCGGGGCGCATCGGCCACTCGGAGCCGCCGCAGCTGACGTGGCATTCCCGCCGCCCGCTGCAGGTGCTGAAGCGAGCATCGCCAGGGACCCCACGGCCGGTCGCTTGCCGCGGTGTTGAATCGCGCGGGCGAGGTGGTCGCGCATCCTGCTGCTATGGCAGACGCTCTCGGGGAGAACTGGAGATCGACCTTCCGCGCGCGGCCGCTGGACGCACGCCTCCGCCGGCAGTGGCTTCTCGACGAGCGGCGCGCCCGAGCAGAGCATGGCGGGCCCTCGCTCCCGTCGGCCGACGACTCCCGATGGCGCCTCCGGCTGAGCGACGTGCAGGGCGCGCTGGACGGCGCGCCGTCGACCGCGCCCGGCCCAGACGGGATGCCGTTCGCCGCGCGGAAGCAGCTCGCCCCCCTGGCCGCGGACGTCCTGCACAAAGCTCACGGCCAGCTCTGCAGCCCCGGCGCGAACGAAGCCATCGTGCGCGACCTCCCGAGCTACAACGACAGCTTGATGGTCTTCCTGCCGAAGACGACAACGGGCGCGGGGGCTGACGGGGCGCCCCATTACGCGCCAGGCGACACTCGCCCGCTGAGCTTCGTCAGCGCGGACAACCGGCTACTGGTTGGAGCCGCGCGCCGCCCCATCGAGCCCTTACTAGCGCAGGTCGTGTCGCCAGAGCAGCGCGGGTTTATTGGCGGCCGCTCCCTGCTCGCCAACGTGGTGGATGTAGACGCGGCGATGCAGACCACCGCCTGTACGGAGCCGGACGGCGCCGCAGTCTTCTTCGACTTCGCGGCGGCGTTTCCCAGCGTTGGACAAGACTTCCGCCTGGAGGTCCTTGCAGACTCGGGCCCCCCTGACACCGTGCTGAACTACGTCGGCGCTCTGCACTGCAACAGCAGGTGCCAGCTGGTTGTCGGGGGCAGCTTGCACGACGGTTTCCTTGTGACCGCTGGCGTCAGGCAGGGTTGCCCGCTGTCGCCGCTGCTTTTCGCGGCGGCCGCCGACCTTCTGCTGCGGCGCCTCGGCCGGGCGTTTCCGCGGGCAGTTCGGCGCGCCTATGCGGGCGATCTGGCGCTGGTCCTGCCGCAGGGCGCCGCGGCGGCTGGCTCGCTCGAGACGCTCTTCGACGCCTGCGCCGCCATCTCGGGCCTGCGATTGAACATCGGCAAGACCTACTGGGCGCCGCTCCGGACAGGGGGCCCCGAGAGCGCGTGGCAGGAGATCGCGGCGCGCGCGCCTTCTTGGGGCGGGATCCGTTTCTCGCACCAGGCCAACCACTTGGGCTTCGTGCGTGGGCCAGCGCGCGCAGAGCACGGGCGGGAACCAGCGTGCGCAAAGTTCAAGGAGCGCGCCCGGGAGTGGGGCCGTTCCGGAGGCGGGACGTGCGCCAACACAGTGGCATATTCCGCGTGCGCGTTCTCCACGCTGAGCTTCTTGGCGCAACTGGGCGCGCCGCCGTCGGGGTGGGCGAAACTCGAGGCCGAGGCGTTGCAGATGCTGTTCCTGGTCCGTACCGGTGGGCGCCGCCTGCTGCTGTTCACGGTCTGCCGCTGCTGGGCTTTGCCGCATCCGTCGCAGACCTCCATGCAGTGTCCCTTGCGGCGAAGTACAGGGTCTCTGCAGGCGGGGGGCGGAGTCGGAAGGCGGGCTCCGGCTTGCAGAACGGGCGACGAGACTCCGACAGGTGCGGCCCTGCACCGCGCAGTCGCTCGGGCGCTTGGGAACCCTGGTGCCAGAATGCGTTTATCCTCCAGCTGGACGCCGCCAGACAGCATTTCGTGGAGCGGGGGTTGACGCCCGCGCGCGTGGCCTTGGATACCAGAGCCCGAAACGTGGACCGAGCGCGCAGGCTCTGGCAGCGCGCCTGCGCGCGCCTGATTGCCCGTGATCGTTCCATCGAATTGCGCGCGTTCCTGCGGGCGCGGCTTTCGAGGTGGGCGCGCGGCCTCCCAGAGCACATCATGTTGGACCGCGTCATGTCCACATCTCCTGCGATCTCTCAGCTGTGCGCCCCGCGGGTGCTCGCCGCATGCATCAGGACCTTGTGGAACTGCTGGGCCACGAGCCGCCGATTCCAGAGACGGGCAACTTGCTTCTTTGGATGTTCGGGGGGGTGATGATTCCATCGAACACTACGCAGAATGCCCGCACGTTTCTGCAGCCACATACCGTGAGCTGGGGCTTGCGCGCCCAGACACGCCAGAGGCGCGACTGGCCAGTTTCGCATTGATTGCCCCGCCGTGTTCGGAAGCGACCGCGCCAGAGCTCCGCCGCCGAGCCCTGGCCACGTGCGGGGTGTACCTGACGCGCTGCTGGGCCCGGCGCGCAGCCTCCAGCGGAGCACTCGCGTGCCGCAGCGCGCTCAGGCTCAAAATCCGGGAGCTTGCAGGGGATCGTAGTTTCTCATTTGTTTGTCTTTCTTCTCTCTCTCTCTCTCTCTATCCGCCTCCCCCTCCTCCCTCAAGCCGCCAGGACGCGGCGGGCGCGCGCGGTTGGTGCAGCTTGCTCCCTGTGGAACGCGTTCTGGGCTCTGGCGTCCAGGCTGTATTGTCTCATTCGACTCCACCCGCCGCCTTCCTCCTTCCCCCTCCTCCCCCTCCTCTCCCTCCCTCCTCTCTTCCTGTCGTCGTCTGCTGCGTCGTCGGTCGCGCCCCGCCCCCCTTCCCCTCCTTCTCCCTCTTCCCCGGCCGCCCCGCGTGGAGCGCGGCAGGCGCGCGCGGAGCGCGGCTGCCTGCTCGATGGTCGAGGCTTGGCCTCCCTTCCCGCTCGGCTTGCCCCTCCCCCGCTCGTCGTCGTCGTCGTCGTCGGCGTCGGCGTCGGCGTCGGCTGGTGCCCTCCCTCCCTCTCCCCCTCCCTCCCCACCTCCCCCCTTCCTCCATGGCGGCGTGGAGCTCGCGCGTCATAGCTCCAGTCTTCCGTGCCGCACTGCGGCGCCGCATCGGGGAGGAGGAGATGTCCTGTTCTCTCTCCCCCGTCTCGCTTGAATTCGCGTTTGATGGGAGTTCCGTGTTGGATGGAGATGCGGGTTGCCTTGGGGCTCCCCAGCGAGCTCCAATATTCGCTCGATACGCCCACGGTGCGGATTCGCTTCCCTGCCCTCCCGTCTCAGCATGAATTCGGCTTTGATGCGACTTCAATGTTGGATAGAGATGCGTGCGGCCGTGTCGCCTCCATGCATGCTTTAAGGATCATTCGAAACGCCTCAGGCGCGAGTCCGTCGCGTTCGCCTGCCCCCGTCCTCCTCCTCCTCCTCCTAATCCTCCTCCTCCTCCTCCTCCTCCTCCTCCTCCTCCTCCTCCTCGCCTTCTCGCCTTCCCCCTTCCTCCGCATCGCTGTGCCGACTTGTGGATCCCACCTGGCAGGTCCTTGGGCGGCCGTGGAGGCTCCAAGCGCTCGACTAGAGCGTTCAGTCGCCCCCCTCGCCTCCTTTCCTCCGCCTCCTCGCCTTCTTGCCCTCCCCCTCCCTCCGGATCGTTGTGCCGATCTGTGGATCCCAGCCGGCAGGTCTATGGGCGGCTGTGGAGGCCCCGGGCTCGCGTCTTGAGCGCGCAGTCGTCCCCCTCGCCTCCTTACTTCCGTCCTCCGCCTCCCTCCCCTCTCGTCTCCTCCTCTCCCAGGGTCGTGGCACGGTGTGCGCCAGGGTGGCCGCTCCCGTGCGGGAAATTGGCGCCCGCGCCGGTTGCATGCAGCGGTGGGCCATGGATATGCCGCCCGGTCTTGTCGGCCGCTCCCTCCGGAGAGCCGCTGCTCGCTCGCGTTGCCCTCTTTGGCTTGCCGCCTCCACACGGCTTGGTCGTGTGGATTGTTTCATCCAGTATTCAGTCATTTGACTTTAGTTGCGATTGGGGGCAACTCTTAGCCTTGCTGTCTCACTCCATTGAGACGCTTCCGCACGCAACTTACAGTTCAACGTGCCCGATTTCCGATCCTCTGAGGCTCGGAGGGTTTGAAATTTCACTAGTTTGTCTGGCTGCTTCCTCTGTCCTCCTCTTTCTCTTCCCTTCTCCTCCCCCCCTCTTCCTCTCCCTTTGGCTATCGTTGCTCAGTTGAAATGGGGGAATGTCAGAGTATGGCCCAGTGTCGGTGCTGTCGCGTCTCACCTCTGTTTTGTTGGTGGTGCTTCCGTGGAGTAGCCCAGATGCCCACTTTGAGGACATGCGAGTTCGTTTGATCATCTTCCTCAGCTTGCCACTTGCCGCATTCGAGTTTTGCCGCTCTTGAGCCTCGCTGCCGTACGTGTCCGATGGGTGTTGTTTTTGCCCCTTGACGGGAAGCGGATTGATGACTACGGTATCGGAGCAGATGCTGAAGTTGGTGGGTGTTTGCGGGATGGGAAACAAGATTTCATGACATATGCGTGTTGGCATCAGATCTTGGAAGGGCCAGCGCGGTGCGGCCATGTTTTCCGATTCGTTTCTCGCGGTGCTTATGCGCAGGACGGACGCGAAACAAAATGTAACACGCATAGAAAGGCCGACGCGGATAAAGGGGGGTTGGGCGGGGCGGGCTGACACAGAGAGACAATAGGGATGGCGCGAGAGAGAGAGAGGGAGATCGATAAATCTGTGCGCGTATTTCGTTGCGTACGGGGCTCTGGCGAAAATGGCAAGGAATTCCTCTCCTGTGCCAGCGCTACACGATTGCGACCGTACGAGTTGCGGTGCGGTGAAACACTACAGCATCGCTGAACACAATCTATTCAGACGGTGCCACCGTACACACTGCACATACAGACGCGTAAAGTGACCACGACAAAGACGTCGAATGACGGCATGGCGACGAGGGACGAGAGCACACGCGCGCAGCAATCCGCACTCAATTTGTACATGTCGGGCCCTGCACTTCAGGGGCCCTGAGCGCACTGGATAGAATCATAATCACAAACGTATGTCCACTTACATCTACATATACCTAAACATACATATGTGTATACATATACACACATGTATATGTATATCATTGGGGGGGTCCGGGGGCCCCAGAGTGCGCTGATTTCTCTTCGGCCGTATTGAGCCCAGCGGGGGTGCCAGAACCCGTCAAAGGAGGGGGAAGGGGGCCCGAGAAACGACCAAGAGGGCGCCACGATGGCTCAAGCGCGCTCCAAAAGAGCCCAAGACCGCTAAAGGTTTTGGGCTCTCTTGGAGCGTAAGACCCACGTGCAAGTTTATGCATATGGGATATAGGTTTTTGAAACAAGGGCTCGCAATCGTGAGACAAGACTTGGTTGTCCTTCAGCGGCGCGGGCTCAATGAGCCGACAGCCGTCATTGCTCAGGGCACGACGCATGCATCTCACTGCACACCTTTAGCGAACGTGCGCAGGTGTTGGACTCCTTGTTGGCCGCCGCGCCTGTAGAAGAATGCTTGTTTGGCGCCCTGCCAACAAGCAGGTCGAGGCAATTGCGCCCCCTCAGGGGACTGAACCGATCCGTGGAATTGGAAAAAAGAGCCCAATACCGCACAAGAGCGTTTCAAACTTGGTCCAACATGGCTTGAAGGCAGCACAAAAGGGCTTCAAGACCGCCAGGGTGCCCTCGAAGGACTCCCATGCGGCACTCAGGAGGCGAACAAAAGTAGGTTATAGGTTGCTGGTGTTCTCGCTGTTTCGTGCTTCCGACGGTCCCAGACAGCCCATGAGCCCCATAAATCAGCTCAAGGCGGCCCAAGAGGCACCCAAAGAGGGCGCGACGACGGCGCAAGAGAGTCCCAAGACGGCCCAAGAGGTGCCCAAGATCGCCCAAGAGGGCCCCAAGGCGGCCCCAAGAGGGGTACAAGAGGGGGAGCACGAACCGACAATTCGAGCCTTCCGCCCCAAGAGGCCCCCAGGATGCCCAAAGAGGCCCCCAACAGAGCCCAAGAGGCCCCTCCCCCCAAGAGGCTCCACAAGGCGCAAAAGAAGCCCAAAAAGAGGCTTCCGTTGCCATTTTGACTCAAGCCGCTCTCTCTACAGGTTCCCCTCGCGAGCGCAGGCAATTCTACCGATTACCCTACCAGGCGCGATGCCAGGGATGCAGGCCTCCTCCATCTTCAGCTCCCTGTTCTGGAGCTCGGAGACCTCTCGGAAGAGCAAGCAGAACACCACCCTGTCGCCGGTCAAGCAGGTGGTCTTGCTTCTGCCGGACGCCCCTGGCGTCGGCGGCTGCGGTGACAACTCAGATCACATCGACATTTGCAAGCCGACCGTCATCGTCACCCTGTGACATGGCGTAGTGGTCGTCTTCCTCCTCCTCCTCCTCCTCCTCCTCCTCCTCCTCCTCCTCCTCTTCCTCCTGACTGAGTGACTGACTCGTGGCGGACGGTAGGTTATCCTTGCAGACAGAGCGGGGGGATCGACGCCTCAGCAGAGAGGGGCGGGGCACATGGAGACCCTGCTGGCCTGCAGTTTTTACCGCGCGTTGCTGCTAACAGTGCGCGCTGCGTGTGTGGGCGTCTGCACCGCTGTCGACACAAGAATGGTAGCACGCAGCACGTGGCCTCGATCTGAACCAAAGGCCTGTACCGCCTCGGCGTGGTGGCGGCGACCGGGTTGACCACGGTTTCAACACCCCTTGGGCCCAGTGCAGCAGTGCCGAAGCCTCGCGCAGCCATGTTGCGCGTGTAAGGAGTGCCCCAGGTTCGCCGCGTTGCAGGAAGCACGCATGCGAGGCGATGCCGTCTCACCTTCTCTGGCTCCTGGCCTCGTCCGTGACGGGGGTTCCTGCCTCGTTCAGGCAGGGACTGCATGTATCCATAATATGGCTTCCTGGCCGTCTCAGGACGTCTGCCCTTCTCCTCCCCCTCCTCCTCCCTCCTCCCCCTCCTCCTCCTTGCTCCTCTCCGACGGCCCAGCGGGCTTTCAGACCGCGGACCCGCGGGCCCGCGATCGCGGCTCCCACGTTCCCGAGGCGTTTTTTCCAGGCGCTCGCTGCAGAGTTGCGACTGACGCCCAGATTATTGTCAATACAGATTGCGGGTCTGATTTTTCATGCGTGTCGTGAATTATCCTTGAGGTGCGGGGAGGGAGAGAGGGCGGCGGGGAGACGTATGAGGATCCCAAAGGGGAGGACAGGGGGTCGGATGAGGAAGCGCTCTAAACCATTCGCGGCCTCAGAGGGCTGGTGGGATTAGGGCGGTTGTGCTCAGCCTCCACCCGTCGGAGCCAGAAACATTGCCTCTTGAATCCGAGCTCGGGTTCCCGTTCTGTCGGCCCATGACAGACGTGTTGTCGAGTGCCTGTCTGTGAACGCGAGCACGGTTCTCGCATTATTGTTATATCGTGCAAGGGGCCGATTCGGGTTAATTCCTTCTGCCGGAAACATGTATCATCCCATTATTTGTCTCTCTCTTTCTCTGTCCCTCCTCTCCGCCTCCTTCTCCCAATTTGTCTCCGCTGTTTCATCTCGTTATGCAAAACGCTTTTCATTGAAGACTTCCCGCATGGAGGAACAAGAACGCTCACAATGGAGTACTGTTAGTTATGGATAGGATTTCGAAGATCTGCGCTCTCTTTCCCCTGATCGCATGTGCTCGCCTGCTAGCGTGACAGCACGTACACCTTGTTTGAAATCCCGAAGCTCGGTTGTTCAATGTAATCGTGTTCCACGGGTTTACACCCTGGTCGCATGTTTATTGATCGTGATGATCTTAGCTGAGGGCCCCTTCGGCAGGAGCAGGACAAGTGCCAGTGCTCTTCTCTTGGCTCAGGATGCCCTCGCTCTCATCTCCTTCCTTCTTCGGTTGCTGTGCTACGCTTTGGGCTTGATCCGTTTCACTCCACTCTGTGCTCCAGGCCTCCGCGTGCAGCCCTCTGACTATTGTTGAGGGGATCGGCACCGATTGTTAGCCTGCGTTGCCGTCGTTCCAACGTACACATGATCGTACATTCCAGCTGCCGATCCTATGTTTCCCTTCGCGTTGGTTGCGCTGTGCGCTGCGGTAGTTGACCCAGCCCACAGGTTTCCCGCATGATGGGAACACAATGTTCAGGCGATTGTTTCTACACGTGATCGTATGTTCCAGCTGTCCACCCTGTTTTTCCCTCCGCGTTGGTTGCGCTGTGAGCTGCGGCAGTTGACCCAGCCCACAGGTATCCCGCAGAATGGGGAACACAATGTTCAGGCGCTCGAAATCGACACGATAATCGCAAGTGCTAGCCTTCGAATGTAGGTGCATACGTTGCACTGCCTGTCGCCGGCTGGCCAGAGGCCATTTGATGCAATTGTTAATTTTTGAATTCGAGCTCGGGTTCCCGATCTGCCGAGGGCCTCTCTTTGAATGCGAGCACGTTTTTCGTTATAGTGACACCGTGTCCAAGGGGCCGACGCGGATTCGATCCCTCTGCAGGAAAAAAAGAGCACCCCAGACGGCCCTCCAATATTGCCTTCTAGAGGCTTCCCAAAATGCCGCCCAAACATGGCATACCATTGCATTGCATTGCATCGCCCGGCATGCCGTGTCTGTGCATACCATGTAACGCGGTAGCATCGCTCTTCATATGAAACATAGCATGTTATGGCTCAGCGTATCATCCCATATATTATCACAACATTTCTCACCACAGCATGGCATGGCATGCAATGCGCACTGCAGAGTATTTCATGCGATTGCATTGCATACTGCATCGTACGATTGCGCTTCATAGCGTAGCGTCTTGTCTCATGGCATTCCATACCATAGTGCAACATGGCGCTGTAGCGATGCATTGCTCCTGGCCAATAGCTTGGCGACAGATCACCGGTCGACCGGTCGATGAGAACGGAAACGGAGAAGAGGCAGGAGGAAACAGAGAATGTGGACTTCATGATTCATGACCGTTTTGTTGTTATTAGTGCAGTCAGCATTCGAGCAGCTATAACCTAAGCGCGCGCGAAGCGCGCGCGTGGTTCTAGTATACATGTGTATGATTTGAGAAGTTTCCAGCTCACCGTGCTGAATTAATCCCACTCGTTTAGGTAAATCCATCCATATTTAGACTAACACATGTATTAAATGCATGTTTACTTATATGCGCGATTACTTTAGTACTCTAATCAGTTTGATGCTGCAGAGTTGTTGTATATATTCAGTTATTTGTAATTTCAGTGATTGTGTTCAACCTCCCTGGCGGAGATCCTGGCTAGCCTCGGGCACGGCCCAATTCATTGAATGTGTTTAATCAATGTGTGTGGATGAAGTAAATTATGCACGATTAAATTAGATGAGTTCAACACATGAACTCATATCAATAAAAACCAGTTTATTTCATTTGCTCAGTTATGTCATGTACTAAATGTATTGTTGACGACCTCCCTGATGAAGATCCTGGAGAGCCTCAGGCGCCGCCCAACGAATATACTCTATTTAATTTTACTCGTGTGAAGAATTGAATAGTTTCAGCAACCCTGAGGCCTGCCAGAATAGCTGCTAGAAGGGCCGGACAATAACCTTGAACACCTTAAATAAAGTAAAGTATTTGAGAAAATAGAGTTCCTCTTATTTGTCACTATTCAGCGTGAATGAATCACATACATCAGACGAAGTCAATAGATTTGGTTTGTTTTGTGCGATTAAGTAATATGTAATACGAAACTAGATGAAACTCATAATTTGAATAATAACCAATGTATGTACATTGAATACTTCATTTGATTCGCTGAATGTACTACTTGATTTAATCGACCTCCCTGGATAAGATCCTGGAGAGGCTCAGGCGCCGCCCAATTCATGACATGTCATTCATCCGTGCGGATTAATTACAGAAACACATAATTGAGGCCTGCCGGAAAACATGAATAAGGTACACAAATTTATGTATAGAAGCCGTACGATGTATTAATTCATTCCGCTAACATGATTAAAAACAAGTCATACTTAAATTTATTTAGATGATTTAATTGTTGTGTATGGTTAGATCAAGTAATTCACACGCATTGAACCATATGGGTTTATTTATTTAATGTGTTGTCATTAACTGTTTTCGACCTCCCTGGCGTAGATCTTGGCGAATTTCAATACGATAGGCGCCTTCCTACTTCAGGGGTCCCGTGGGTTCCCCTCGTTCGTCGGCAGGGGACGGACGGACATGTAATCAAATTATTTCCAACGCCTTCATACTCCGTGTTTTTATCCACTTCTTCCGAGCGGTGGGTACAAAGGGTGGGGGAGCAGTTGTCGGCAGCGTCGGCGGCAGCAACCGCAATGAGGAGCGGCAGAAGGAGCAGGAGCAGGATGAGGTCGCCCCCCACTCCTCCTCTCCTTGTCAGCGCTGTTTCTTCGTTCCCTTCTCCTCCTCCCCACCCTCCCCAGGGCGCAGGGGGACTGAGCTACCCCGAGCCCCTTGGGAGGCTTGCCGGTTCGCTTCCACGGGTTGTTTTGTTACGGCTATTTAGTTCAATGACCCCCAGGGTCGACCGACCTTGGGTGGGATGGGGTGGGATGGCTGCGCCGGATTGACACTCTAGCCAACAGCTCTTAGGTCTAACAGGAGGAGCAGCCCCACCTCTTAACACACAGCGACAGAAAGTCACAGGACGCATACGAAGTGGATTGAGCACGTCCACTAATTCTGGCATCGCTCGAACGTGTGCATCTGCTCTTGGCGAGCACCATCGAGGAGCATCCTTGATCATCTGGTGAAACATGCACCCACGACGTCGAACAGTTGCACGGGGAACGGACGTCCGAGCGATGCGATGGCAATTTAGTGGGGATAGCCGGATCCTGTTGGGGGGGACTTTCCCCCCCCCTTTTCGTCGTGTCTTTGGAAGTTGGCGGGACAGCGCTCCCAGCGACAAAAAATCTACTATTCCCCCCCCGCCCACGGATGCTCGTAGTCGTGGGTCGCCCAGCGTCCGTCGGCCGCGTCGTCGCCGTCGTCGCTACGGCGTTGCATTACATCCCCCCATTTGCCGAACTTGTGGATCCCTCGCTCGTCGTCGTCGTCACGACGTTTTGTTCCCCCCCCAGGCGATTTCGTTTTTATGCATCGTTGCTCGCGGTCGTCGTCGTCATGGCGTTGTCTTACCCCTTCCCCCCCGCCCCACCCCTTGGGGCTGCCAACTATTATTGGCTTGGTGTCGACGCACGTGTCTCGTGCCATCTTGGGCCGCCCAAGAAAAAAAAAAGGTTCTACATCTTGAGCTTGCATTGCCCTCCTCCTCCCCCCATTTGGAGGATTGCGTCCTGCATCCTCTTCTTTCCTTGCTGCTGCCCGCGCGAGGAGAACAAAGAGAAAGAGGGGGGAAGGGGGAGGGGGAGGGATGAGGATGTGCAGGAAGAGGGGAGCAGGACGAGGGGAGGAAGAGCAGCAGGAAGAGGGGAGGGGGAGCGGAGGAGGAGGAGGAGCAGGAAGAGGGGAGGGGGAGGGATACGGAGGTGGCGCGGGAGGAGGAAGCGCAAAAAAGAAGCGCAGCACGAGGAGGAGAGGTTGGAGGAGGACGCAGCAGAGGAGAGGCGGCAGAGGGGGCGGCGAGGGTACGACCTGAAGAACTACGAGAAGTTGTGGCACGCGCTGCGGAGGGAGAAGCGCTGGCCGAGCGTGGAGGCGGAGCGCGCCTGGCGCTGCTGTCAGAGGAGTAAGATGTACCCATAGCTGTACCCCTTCGCCCGTTTTCACATTGGTCGGCCTCCTGGGAGGCCCTCGTCGCCACCGCTGGGTTCGCCTCGAGATCCTTGTCCGCACGCACCCCAGGAGAGATCTGAGGAGTAGCGGTAGCGGTTCCTGTTGGCCTCCCCATGTTGTCTTCTCGCCTCCTCGTGTGGCTCATGTTGCTCCTGCTTCCCTCCGTCCTTCCCTCCTCCCTCCCCCTCCTCCCTGCCCCTCGTCCCTCCACAATTACTCAATATGAATACTACTCTCCCTCTTCCCCCGATGGCGGCCTGAAAGTAGCCGACCCCCCCGCCTGTCTTGCTTTTTTACACACAGGATTCCCGGGAGTTGGGTTTTCGCCTGCATTTTTTTCAAAATGCTGCTCTCGCCGAGGCGCCGGCCTCATTTTCGGGCCCCGCTCGTTCCGAATCGTGCTCCCGCTGCAGCGCTGGCCTCATTTCCGCGCTTCCGCCCGTTTCGACTCGTGCTCCCGCTGCAGCGCTGGCGTCATTTCCCGTGCCATGCCACAGCACACGCGCACACACGCACACACACACACACACACACACCCACCCACCCACCCACCCACCCACCACCCACCCACCCCCCCACCCACCCACCCAACCACCACCCACCACCACCACCACCACCACCACCACCACCCACCACCACAACCACGCACACACGCACGCACGCACGCACGCGCACCACCACCCACTAGTCCGCGGATAGAGAAAATCAGCGCCATGGTAAGGGATGGGAGGGAGGGGTAGGACGTCAGATATGACGCGCGCGCACATAGCTTGCGTCTCTCCCCCTCCCCTCTCCCCCTGTTCCTGCTACGGTCCTCCCTCCTCCCCCACTCCTTTCTTCTCGTCCCTGCTTCCCCGCCCTGCCAGGCCGCTACCGCTGCTCCTGCTGCATTCGGGGATGGCACTGATGCGCCACACACCACCACCACAAGTCGTACGCCGAAAGGCGCGTAGACGCAACTAGGACATGCAATGCCGGCTCACACCGGCCCTCCAACCGGACTCACAATGGATATTCTCTCCGATCACAGCAGCGTGTTTGGCGACTTGACTAACCCATTCGTTCCTCGGGCGACCGACCTTCTTCACGAATCTTCGTCTCCCTCCAACGCACGCACCACTCTTCCATACCTATACGACCACCCTGCGGGTGATAAGGAGGTTGTGGGGGGGGGGGGGAGGAGGGTGGCTCATGACGACAACTGTGGTGAATGTGGTGCTGATGGCCGATGATGGTGTGGATGACGTGGCGGATTTTGTTTTGTTCTTTCGCTTGGGCGTTTTGTGTCATTCGGTTTGCCGCTGCGCGACGCGGCACTCACCCCAGGGCGTGCACTGGCAGGGCCTGGTGCGTGCGTCCGGACCTCTCCTATCCTGCCTTGGGAGTCACGCTGGCAGTGCCTGGCGTTGACGAGCACCCTCCGCCCAGCGTCGGTGGGGACGACTGGCTGTTTGTGGCGGGCAGTGCCATTTGCTCAGCAGGGACACTGCTGCCAGACGCACTGGCAGCGCCTGGTGCCGTGTTGGCCTGCACTGGCAGCGCCCACTTGATGACCATGCCTTTGTCAAGCTGGCGCGGGCCCCTGGGGCGCCATGCGAATTCCGGGTGGCTCTGAACGAACGCCTTCAAGCCACCGGGTGGCAGGAGCTATGGTGCAGCCGCCCCCGCGACCGTTTTCCGTGCTACCGCGGCGGGGGCGGGCGGCGCTACGCGTGCCTGGTTCAAACTGGAAGAGCCGGGCCCGCCCGCGCGCGCACCTGGTGCCCCCGCCGAAGCGGGCCCGCGTGAAACGGACGGCGCGGCCAGGCCGGAGCTGGCAGCGCCTGGCTCGCCTACGCGCGCCGAGGCCTGCACCGACGCGGGCCCACGTGGAAGTGACGGCGCCGCCAGGTCGGAGCTGGCAGCGCCTGGCTCGCCCGCGCGCGCCAGGGGCGACTGCCGCTGAGCGGCCCCCCGCAGCTTGCAATCCTCGTGCGCGTCTTTGACTGCGCGCCGCTGCGTTGGCGCCGCCGGCTTCCTGGTGGGGGCCCCAAGACTGGCAGCGTACTTTATGAGCTCCGCCTTCTTCATGTCCTCCACGCGGCCCCCCATTTCGTGGATAGCCCGTCCGCAGAAATGCGCGAGGAGGGCGCCCTGGGGAGGTAGCGCGAACGCAGCGGGCGCCTTGAGCCGGAGGAGGAGGACAGTGACGGGCAGGAGACGGGGGAGGAGGCGGAGGAGGAGGAGAAGGAGGAGGAGGACGAGGAGGAGGACGAGGCGGATGAAAATGAAGACGGTCATGATGATGACGGCGACGGTGGCGGCGACGATGAGGAGATCTTCATAAATGCAAATTCACACAAGCAGGGGAACTGGAAGGACGGCGTGGACAATCAACGACGGCATTTACTCGTCCTCTGACGACAAAGTGGCCCAAGAACGGCACCCCCCGGCCCACGATGCCAAATGAAAGTGGCCGCCATCCTCAGAGGAGGGGGGGGGGAGGAGGGGGGCGACGAATGGCAATCGAGCCTCGGCCCTAGCAAAAAAAAACGACGAGCTGACCGACTTGCGTCGCGTGGCCTGAGCCCTTGAGCCGAGCTAAAGATTTAAAGAATGAGATTAGAGTTAAAGAAATTATGGATACGAGGAGGAGAAGCAAGAGAAGGTGTCCCATGATGAGCAACCATGATGGCGCCCCATGATGAGCAGCCATGGTGAGCAACCATGATGAGCGACCTGCAGGACAATGATGAGCAGCCGTGATGAACAACCATTATGGGCAACCAGCATGGGCAGCCGGCGGGGCAATGCTGATTCCACGATCGATCTCACTATCGAACTCACTGTCGATCTCACTATCGATCCAACATTCGGTCTCACATTCGGTCTCACAATCGATGTCACGACCGAACTCACCATCGATCTCACTATCGATCCCACTTTCATAGTATGGATATCACATCATCTCACTATCGATCTCACTATCGATCTCACATTCGGTCCCACTATCGATCTCAATCGATACCACAATCGATGTCACAATCGATATCACATTCGGTCTCACTGTCGGTCTCACTATCGACGTCACGATCAATTTCACCATCGATCTCGCGCTCGATCGCACTATCGATTTCACGACAGGACACCGACGGGCCATCGACGGGACAATGCGGGATCGATCTTTCAATCGATCTCATAATCGGTCGCAGTATCGATCTCACAATCGATCCCACTGTCGATCTCACAATATATCTCAGTTTCGGTGCTAATCAATTTCACGATCGATCTCACGATCGATCTCACGATCGATCCAACCTTCGGTCTCACATTCGGTCTCACAATCGATTTCACTTTCGGTGCCACTATCAGTTTCACCATCGATCTCACTATCGATCTCATTATCGATCTCACGACAGGACAACGGCGGGCGACCGACGGGACAATGCGGGTTACCGCTTGACACGCGCCGGCGGGGGAAACATTTATATTGGCGAACCACTAGCGACAGACAGGACAACGGCGGGCGACCGACGGGACAATGCGGGATACCACTTGACACGCGCCGCCGGGGGGAACATTTATGTTGGTGAACCACTAGCGACAGACAGGACAACGGCGGGCGACCGACGGGACAGTGCGGGCCACCGCTTGACACGCGCCGGCGGGGGAAACATTTATGTTGGTGAACCACTAGCGACAGACAGGACAACGGCGGGCAACTAACGGGACAATGCGGGCCACCGTTTGACACGCGCCGGCGGGGGAAACATTTATGTTGGCGAACCACTAGCGACAGACAGGACAACGGCGGGCAACCGACGGGACAATGCGGGCCACTGCTTGACACGCGCCGGCGGGGGAAACATTTATGTTGGCGAACCACCAGCGACAGACAGGACAACGGCTGGCAACCGACGGGACAATGCGGGGCACCGCTTGACACGCGCCGGTGGGGGAAACATTTACGTCGGCGAACCACTAGCGACAGCAGGATGAATTCCTCTCGCCCGCGCACGCAGCTTCGCCTCGCCCGCACGCACGACACGAACACGAAACCGGAACCGATTTACCGGTGGGGGGCTCTTTGTTCCACTTCGATCTCACCCCCCCAACCTCCGATAATAGCAGCTGTTGTTGTAACAGTTTGCATGAAGTTTGTACCCAGCCTGCCTTCTCCAACGCTGTCTTGTTTGAAACTCGCGAAATAAATGATGGTTGTATTCGTAAAGTGACGCGTAAACATCGGCAGTGGAAGCCGTTGGCTCGGCGAGCGTCAGCTGCCCGCAGCCAGGCGGAGTTCAGCCCATGCAAGAACCGGCTCATGATGACTGCTTCAAAGTTTTTCTTTCCTGGACAGCGGCACCTCCATTCGCTTCCAGAAGATATTGAGATTGCAGAACTCCCCCCAAATTTGACCAATCTTGCGGTGGATCTCGTGACTCAAATTCCCGTCGGAACGGATGTCGACTCCAAGGCATTGCAAAGCTGCGCCAGTAGGGATGGCGTCCCCAGTTGGAGTCTGTAGCTGGAACTCCCGGCCGACTGAGATGAGCTGGAACTTCGACCAGTGCAGCGCCATGCCGTTTTGGGTTTCAGTGCGCGCGATGCTGTCCAGAGGCTCGTGCAGGTGCGTTTGCCCGGCTCCCAGCAGCAAACTGTCGTCCGCGTAGAGCAAAATATCTAGAGATCCGGCCTCCATCTGGTGGCGCGCCGCGTCCGACAGGCGCTGCGTCGCGCCGTGAATGACAACCGTCATGAGCATGACAAAGAGAAGCGGCGATAGAGGGCACCCTTGGGAGATCCCCGAATGTTGTTCTTTTTCGGCAGATTCCTGCGCGGGTCCAATCACTGAGAATCGCCTGGCAGAGTAGATGTGCTGCACCATTCTCAAGACCTTCGGCGGTAATCCAAACCGCCCAAGGGCTGTCATCATAGCGTTG